ATAAACATAAATAAGTTTCTTACCATATCTTCTACACAGCTACCAGTTTGTATGACATTAGTTATAGTAGGAGGATCAATGGATTTTACTTCCTTAAAATCAACCAAGATACCATGCTAAAAAATAAAGATAACATACTGTACTTCATGCATGATAATGAAGTAATTCTGATTAAATTCATTATTAAGGTACTTTCTGATTATACCCACTCACATCAAAAAGTCGCAACTTAAAAGCTCAATGAACTTTTCCACAATAAAAATTTATTTTAAATTGACTAACACTTCATAACTGTTGCAATAATGCAACTGATACAGAGGAAGGGAGGGAGAGAAAAACCAAGGAAATATCACTAATTTTTACTCATCTTGAAAAATTCTACAATTCCTGGTTTAAACTTAAATGCTGAATTAAAAAAGAATTCATTGATGTAAGAAAATATTCATGCTACTTTACTGCTTTTTTCGTTGAATGTTTTGTTCTGGTTTGATTTTAGATGAATGAATTTTTGGTTTACAGGTAATCAACAATTAAAATATATAACATTTATTTCAAGATACATAGATAACAAAATGCCTTTTATTTAAAAACAGCATCATAATTATTTAAAAGATGAAACTGTCATATACAGACATTTACTTTACCAATCCAAATTAAAAAAAAAAATAGTAGTATGAATAATAGCATAACATTAATTTTGTTATAAAATATAATGAATAAATGTCTAATCTTTGGAATATGGTAACAGATAGTTTGGCGACATTTTGGTAAGGCGATAAAGGTTACTATCTAGACTTAGCAGTGTACATTGTATAAGTCGAGTGTGGCATGCCATTTTGTGCAATTCTGGGATGTTTTTTTTTGAAAATAGTCACGTTACAGGATGATACCGGTATCATCCATGTACTAAATCATGCTGTATCATCCATGTATCCATGCACGATATCTCATGTATGTATTAAAAACAGCAGTTTGCGATTCGCACTTTCTCCCATTTGCAATACTTTCGTCAGATATTTTGTTCATAAAAGTTCTATATAAGATATCGGCAGCAATTGTTGGAAAAAATGTCGAGTAAAAAAAAAAAAAAGCCTTTACTTCGTTAAAACACCTCTTCCAAACAAAACTAGCAGGTTTAGCAGGGTGTCGCCAAATTTTCGCCAAAAAATCGTCAAGTTACCATAATCCAAAGATTAACCGAATAAACTATCAATCTCCTGAATTTTCATAGTAAAGGGTATATTAGAACTTGTACATGAATTGTGGATAAATTTAACATAAAAATCACTGCATGTTTTTAGAAATAGTATAGAACAAATTGATAAATGCTATTAAATATGATGACACAAACTAAGTTAATGTTAAAAAATTCTGACATTGAATACTTTAGCGCTAAAAAAATTAATAGTGTACACTTTTTCTAATACAATTCTGCAGATCTATACAATAAGCAGTCTCTCTTAAGTAGTAGCAATAGGACATCACCAATTCTAGATCAGAGATTTTTCCAGATAATTGAATATATATATTTCTAAAATTTACGTATTATTGTAGGAATTGAATTATATGTTTGTAGGAATTTAGTGTACGCTTCAGTGGAAGTAAACGTGCATGGAAATAATTTTAATATTTGCATGGAATTAATTTAAATATTTTAAATATTTAATTAAGTATTTGTAACCATTTGTAATGTTTGAGGTATGAATTCGTTGGTGACGTTTATAATAATAGATAATTTAGAGGTAAAAGTTTTTGGATATTTATTTATTTTATACGTGAAATGTTCATCTTTGGAAAGGGTATATACTTTTTCGCGATCAGGTAATTTCATATGTTCTTTTTACCGATTTAAAGATTCACAAATTTTCATGCATTTTCGTGAAATTTTTTCTCAATTTATGAGAAAAAAGCAGTGTACATGGATATAGTGAACAGTGTGCGCAATGCCATTTTTTGTGCAATTCTGGGATGTTTTTTTAAGTAAAAATAAGTCGACGTGTACATGTTTAGTGATATTTTAATTAAATGATAGTTATTTTGTGAATTTTATGCTTGTAGGAATTTGGTATACGTTTCAGTTGAAGTAAACGTGCATGGAAATAATTTAAATATTTGACACAAAGTATTTGTAACCATTTGTAACGTTTACGGTATGAATTCGTTGGTGACGTTTATAATGTAATAGATAATTTAGAGGTGGAAATGTTCATCCTTGGAAAGGGTATATACTTTTTCGCGATCAGGTAATTTCATATATTTGCTTTTTACCGAGTTTAAAGATTCACAGAATTTTTTGCATTTTCGTGCAAATTTTTGTAATTTATGAGAAAATAGCAGTGTAGATGGATAAAGTTAAGACTGTGTGCAATGCCATTTTTGTGCAATTCTGGGATTTTTTTTAAGTAAAAATAAGTCGACGTGTAAATGGTTTATGTGTATGTGCTATTCTGAAAAAGGTGCAAGGAGTTTGCGATTGTGCACTTTTTCCCAATTTTGCAGTTAATATTTGTCATGATTAAGCAGTTTTGTTACATAAAATTTCTAGCATAAGTGTAATTTGGCTAGTAGATTGTTGGAAAAAGTATTCAGTAAATAAAAAGAAAAGAAACATGTTTTTACTTCGTGAAGACAAAATGGCAGGGGAAAAAAAATAGAGGGTTGCTGTAGCAGAGTTGATCGCCAAATTTTTGCCAAAAAATCACCAAGTTACCATAATCCAAAGATCAACCCTGTTTTCACTTCATCCAAAGATCACTCACAAAAAATCCTAGAATTGCACAAACTAGGCATTGCACACTGCCTTAAATTTGTTCATGTACACATCAATCTATTTTCATTTAAATAAAATCAGGAAGCTAAAGCACAGTTAAAACTATCAAGGAACCAGAAACCAGGTTTCATCGCCAAAATTAAAAAAAAAAAAAAAAATTGTCGCTAATCGGAGGGGCACCCAATTCTACACTAGAGCCGGAAATTCTTTCTGTTGACAAGTGGCTGATGTAGAATGCTTGAATCACCAGGTTTCAGGTCTGGCGACCAATTCGATTGCACCCAAATGCTTCTCATGAGCTCAGCTGTTCCACATATACAAAAACAGGGATACCTGGTACATCTGTTTTGCTGGCCAAACCAGATGTAGTGCAGGTGATATTGCAACAAATCAATGACTCTTTTTATATCTTCAAAATCTTCACATAAACAAACTGAATGACCTATTGGGACTCCACCAAATAAATTCTCATTGTGGAAGAGAACAAATTTCAAGCCCCACTTTGAGCTATCAATGAACATTCATCACCGAGTTGCATTATAGTTTGAAATTCCCAACTCTTTCATTGTGCATTTTCTTGTGCAGTCTTGATGCTAACAACTCAACAGCTCTTTTGGATAGTCCCAAATCTCGTACCATATCATTCTACTCAAGCTGGTCAAATTCCTTATCATTTTCACGGAATCATTTTCAACTTCAAAATCTTTGTCATTGGTGTCTACTTAATACTCACCAGAATCATATTCCTGTATTTTCAAAGAAGGTAATTCTTTGAAAACTGACACTGGAAGTTTAGCTGAATGAGGTACTGGTCGTAGATCTGATGGTAAATTAGACACTATTTTAACATTTGTTTTTCTTGTTATATCCTGATATCTTAATCATGAATTTTCACTTTAAAATAAACAAAAAGGCTAGCCTGGCAAATGTACTGATGTTTGTCCGCTGAATGAGAATGGTAAAATTTGCACATATTATAATATAATGAGTTGGGGGTGTTTAAGCACTTAATGATATAAACAAGCACAGGTGGACATAAGGAAATGTTTCAGTTCACATATAAATAAAAACTTGACACTGCTAACCTTGTATACAAAGAAGAACTCAGACTCCACACTGGAATGCGCTTCAACACATCAGAGGAACATGTTTCACTACAGTAATCTGTCTAGCTAAGAGTGGTCACATTCACATAAGGTATAGAGAAAAAACTATGTGGTAGATGAAAACTAGCTACTGTTTTGGAATCAATATGCCTATTTAATTCTGAAACAACTTAAAATCTTTTTGTACTTAACAGAAATTGTGTTACAAATTGTTCCCCAGTGTAATATAATATCCATGGTCACTTTCTCTATATTTTAAGGTAGGCATTTCGACATTAGTTTTAACCACTGAAAATAGATATTTTGAAAACTTCAAATTTCTGTGCGATATCCAATGTCCATTTGCATATAATTAATTTGGGAGGAAAAAGACATCTTTTTAATGTTAAGGTGGTTTTAATGGGCTTTTTAATGCTAAGGTTTAATGCAAAAAAGGTTAAAAGGCAAGCATTACATTATAAACTTGATTTCTTCATTAGTTATATTATTATACAACAACTGCTCGTATTTAGTCAGGTTTTAACAAATGCTGGTATTTAGTCTGGTTGGCATAATGCAGAATGCTACGGAAATTATTCATTACCCATCAATCAAGTGCACACACAATGAAATATTTATAAGGGGCAAAACATTTTTAGAGCATAAAGTGCAGTGATGCATAAAATATACACAAAACTACACAGTTCATTTATAATATACAAATCAAATATGCTGGTGAACAGTGTTTATCAACTATTCAAGTACCTTGTAGGTTTAGACAATAAAGGAATTTTTCCCTTCGATGTACCAAGTTTTTTTTAGTATGAAGCAAAAAATAAAAACATTGAAACACATAAAATATATTATAATAGTTAACTAAACATATTATTATAATATATTATACATGCTGTAACAGCTAGTTAATTTTAAATGCCTAGCTGAACTAAAACCCTTAACAGCAGCTCAAGTTATTTCTTTTGATGTTCATGATTTCACAGCTAAAATTACATTTATCCCCTTAATTCGGACTTGATTTATAAATGCTAGCTGATTAATATATAAAACTTGTTTACAATTTATTAAGTGATAGACTATATATAACTAGATGAAGAAGGGTTTAATGCAAAACGGAACATTAACATTTCCTTCATTTAAGGTTAGCAAGAATAATAAAACTGTAATCCAAATTAGCTCAGAAAAATGCTTTTGTTGCATCTTTTTGTAAAAATCCTGCAGAGCTATCAAGTGACACTTTATTTCCATAAAAAATTCAGCTACAAAAATATAGGAAGAATTTGAATTTGTGATATTATTGTAAGGAAAATAAAGATTTTTATATGGCTTTATTCATGCTGGTTTTTCTTTAATCCATTTGGATGTGAAAATCAGTTTTTAACCCTTCTACTCAACTTAATTAAAAAAAAAAAAAAAAAAAAATTTGCATGTTTGTGATAAAAATAAAATATGTCATAGCACTGTACTTTTTTCATTTTGTTTTTAAATTTTTATACATCTTGTTTAGTGACCAAAATTGATCATTTCCACACATCAGATTATACACTATACATCAGATTATAATTTTTTAAATAAAATTTACTTAATTCTAAGAAAACTTACTGCACTCCTTAGTAACTTACTAAATTTCTTAGGAATAAAAGTCATACATTAAAAGTAAATAAAAAGTTAAGATATATGAAGTGTGTGTATGTATTTAATAATAACAAAACTTTGTGGTATATCAATTCATTATGTTTGTTTTGGGCACAAATCAAACGTGCACACTTTTTTTAACATATCTCAAACATACATATAACTGACTTAATTCTGTTTAGAATTTGATAGTGTATACTGCAAAACAAATGAGTAATGATAATAGGTTTTATGCTTCAGAAGTCTTTTCTGATTCACACACAAAAGGCGAAAATCTAAAGTTAAAAACTGAACAAGTATTTTCAAACTATTATACCTTTCGAACAGTAATAATATTAAAGAAGCTTACTTCTGTAGATGCCAATCGTGTCCTAGCATTTAAAGCTGACAGCCACGATTCTATAATAGGAGACACAACACGATGGACATAAATCCATTTAAACACATTATTAATCCATTCAACTCCTTCGGGATTTTCTCCAGTACACGATGGTATAATAAAAGGTTTCTGAATAACTTCTGGTTCAGAAAAAACTTCATTTTCAACAGTAGATTTTACTTCTGGTGCACATGACACATGCTCGGTAGTATCAGGTTTTTCGTCTTTTGGTTCGGATTTAGTTGCTTCATAAGCGGTTTTTCGTTTCCTTAATTGAGTGGCTATAATAGTTCCTATGATATACACAATTAATCCTAACAAAATCCATCCTAATAACAACAAATTAATTACATTAACCGTTTCTTTAGAGTCATCGGTATATACAATATCATTCAGCTTGTCAGCCATGTTCTCGTACCACTCCTTAGTGCGGTACCAAAATAACTTTGCGGTGATGTCGACCATTCTTTTTTTTTTTTTTTTTTTTCGTTTTTGGAACAGCGTTCAGTTGCCTAGAGACCAAATGCAGAAGTCTTAATGGATGTCCCCAAAACCGATTGGCGAGAAAACACGGCGACTAAATGCAAAAAACATTTATAAAATATTTTCGCGATCACCAACTCCTGTTTCAAACATTTTACCTGTATGAACACACCGATTACGCTCGCAACACCTTGTATTTACCTGTAGGTTGATTATGCAATCTGAATTACTTTAAGTTTTCAACCTGGAAACGAATTAATAAAAATAATTGTAATTATATGGTCAATATCTCAAATTATGTGTGGAAGTATATTAATAAATAAGGCCTTTTTTAAAGGCAGATGTTAAATCTTTAAATTGAAAGGATTTGATGTTCTGGCATTTGTGAAAATAAGGGAAATAAATAATGTATATCAGGTATATTTAAACACATGTTTCAAATCACAGACATGAAAGCACGGGGGGACACAGAAATGTCCTTTTAACTCTGATACATCAATGGACTTTTATTATTTTTTAATTAATGTTAAATAAATAGAAAAGTCATTCGTGACAAATATTCGGCGAAATTTACATTTGGCATATATCATGTCACTGCTTGCAGATACCTTGTTATTTTATTTTATTTTTCCTAAACAGTACACTAAGACACTTCGATTTAGTCTAGTCTAGTCTGTACGGCTATTGCCGAAATGTCGCGCTACTGCGCAACTTATCCGGCTCTTGAAAATAGGCCCGAAGGGCGCATGACGTTGATCATTCATGACAATTTGGAGAGGTCAAAGGTGGTTTACAGGGGGCGACCATGAGTCGCAAAGCCATTGAGAGGCGAGCGCAGCGAGAAATTCACGAAACAGGAGCCGTGAGGAATCTGTGTGACATGTTTGTGTTGTATCATTAAAGAAGACACAGACAAAATCCGACAATTTATATCATGACATGTGAAGTAATACATAACATAAATAAAATAAACATAATCGTGCAATATTGTCAAAATACTACAAATAACCTGAAATTAAAATGATACAAAATATTGATGCAAATACAATTGAGAACTTAAAATACACTATGTACAAGAACTGTGCATAATTATCATGATATATTACGTGGGGAAATTTAAGTCCCGGGTGAGGTGGGCCGCGAGTGGTCGTAACGATGCATCTTCCTCAAGAATTACATAGTTCAAAACATTAAGATCAGACATATGATTACATTCTTGAGCCTTTTCAAAGAATTTAACATTGGCCTTATGCAGATACATTTCAGTGAACTCCATTTTAAGGTCTCGATGTAGGGTCTGATTGGAGACATAATAATGTGCGTTGGTTATCATTCTTAAAACTTTGTTTTGAATAATTTGAAGCTTGCTTAACTTCTTTTTCTGAACTGTTGCCCAGGTGGGAGATGCGTACGCAAAAATAGGACGAATTATGGAATTGTATATATGCATTTTCCTCTTTATATCTAATCTGGAGGTCGCAGACAAGAGCGGCGTAAGATTTTGAATGACCCCAAGTCTTGCCTCTGACGCAATTTATATGATCTTTCCAGAGGAAATTTGAATTATATTTTAGTCCTAAATAAGTAGCACTTTTGACAACAGGAACGACAGTATCAAAGAGCACCAGCTGGACAGTCAAGGGATGGTTCATTTTATTTTTCTTAAAAATCAGAAGTTTGGATTTGTCAGCATTAATTGCAATTTTCCACATGGCGCACCATTTTTCAAGCTTGGGCATAAATCTTTGTAGTTTCTTTACGGCAAAATTTGGCGACCCTGACTTGACAGCACAAGCTGTGTCGTCTGCATAGCAACCCATGAAGAAGAAGTTTTAGATCCAGATGTTCTGCAGGTAGGTCTGCCACGTAGAATAAATAGAGCACAGGCCCTAAAATAGAAATCCCTTGCGGGACCCCGGCCTTCACATGCTTCTTATTTGAAGTGCTTTCACCCAATTTGAATAAAGAAGTTTGAATAAAGAATGTCTGTCCTGTTGGACAGAAAAGAATGGATGATTTTATCAACTCACTGCTGAATTTTAAGTTGATTAACTTGTAAATTAAGCTCCCTCATGCCAGACGCGGTCGAATGCCTTCGCCACGTCCAGCATGATAAGGCAACGTATCTTTTGTCGTGCAATGCACTGCCTATGAACTCATTCAGTCGTACCAGCTGCTTTGTCGTAGAAAGGGCTTTCCGAAAACCAAACTTGTTCGAGTGGTAGCTTTATCCAAGATGTGGGCTGTATACGGCTAAGGACAATTCTTTCAAGTATCTTACCCATACTAGGGAAGCAGGCTAATGGGGCCTGTACCCTTCCGGTTTCGTCAGATTTTTTCCCGGCTTTGGGAGCACAATCATCTTTGCAGACTTCCATATTCCGTGGAAAATAACTATTGTACAGGCAAGCGTTTAAAATACCTGTGAGACGGTTGACCATATTAATAGGCAGCCATTTCAGCGCCACATTGTTCACATTATCCTGCCCGGGGGCCTTTCTATTCCCGAGCTTCTTAATAATGTTTAAGATTTCTTGAGGCGAAGTGAGTTCTAAATGACTTTGCATGTCGTTTGCACGAATCCATTCTGTCACTGTGGAGTTCACAATAGTTGAAAACTCCTGATTGCACGGGGAGGTATTCGGGGTGAACTGTTTATCGAAGTGCTCAGCAAGCGTGTTACATTTTTCAATATTCGTGAGCGCAATGCCTTGTTCATGATAAATTGGCCTATTGACAGTGGTTTTATTTTTTAAACGTCTTACGAAAGACCAGAAGGAGCTACTTGGCTCATTAAAGCTCTCGATCTTCTCATCCCAGAGTTCTTTGCGATGAATAATGATCTGCTTTTTAATTTCTCTGCTAAGTCTATTCATCTCTTTCTTCGTATTTGGATCACAGGTAAGATGAAACCTTTTCCTAAGCGTATTTCTGTCTTTGATGAGATTTTTGATCTTATTAGATAATTTATCAGTGACTTGCCTTCTGGGGATTTTCCTAGTAGCTGCTTTATAGGCACTTTGAATATCGATCGTAAGTTGATTGGCAGCAAGTTCTATGTCATCAGGAGTGCGTAACCTAAGATTATTATTGTGACATTCAGAGAGAATTTCATTAAAGACCTTCCAATTCGTCGTGTTGATATGCTCGTCCATGACATCCTTATTTATACCTAGGGTCGCAATGACCGGGCAGTGATCCGAATCCAGTTCTTGAAGTACTTCAAGATCGAATGAGAAGGAGATGGTGGAAAGGAAAATATCTAGAATGTCACCAGTATTTGGATTTTGCGGTAGATAGGTGTATTCACTAGGAACATGAAAATAGACTGGGTAATTTTTAATGAATTCAGATAATTTAATTCCATTTTTGTTCGTTTTTCTACAATTCCATTCCTGACTTTTAGAGTTTAAGTCTCCCGCAAGTATGACCTGCTTGTTGGTGTCCAGAATTTTGGCCAGGTAGTTGATATCAAGGATATTTTTGGGAGAATTGAAATAAACATTTCCATAGTGCGGAAAGAGGATAGACACAGTGACTAGCTCATGCCCATTATAGCGCTCATCATTGATCATACAGTATTGCAGAGAGTTGCGGACATAAATCGCGACCCCTCCACCTCGGTGACTTAGACGATCGCATCTGTAACATATATAATTTGGAATCCTCATCTGAGTACTTGGCGTAGCAAAGGTTTCAGTAATCAGAGCCACGTCTTTGTCATGACTCGTAAGAAAGTTTGAAAGTTCCGTGATCTTGTAGTGAATGCCTCTTGCATTCCAAGTCATAATAGAGATGGGAGCATTTGTAGGTCTAACTTGACCCATTATCAAGAGTAGAGGAGGTTTTTAGCTCTTGATTAGTTTCCCTAATCTCTCTGACTTGCTGCGATATTTGAAACCCAGCATTTTTTATGACGGAAACGAGTTCCGCGAGGTCTGTGAAGACTTGCTTTGCTTCACTTAAAATATCAGAGTATAGGCCTGAGGATAGTGCCTGTGAATATGATTTATTTTCAATTACCCTACTGGGGAAATTGTTAGGTTTGTCAGATTTTCTTTTGGGAAATTTCTCACACCCTCGGAAACTGGAAGTGTGGGAACCCCTGCAATTTAAACAGAATAAGGGCTTTTCGCTGTTATTCTTATCTGGGCAGTCCTTAACAAAGTGTTCTTTACCACATCTGACACATTTGGGCGCGTAATTGCAACCCGCTTGAGTGTGATTAAACCCCTGACAACGAAAACATTGCAGGGGTCCTTGTCTGCATAAGTACTCTTTGAATTTAATTTTCATGTGACATAAGAATCTCTCGTTATAGATTTCCTTCGATTTCTCATTCTTAGGAAGAGATATTAAGAACAGTGGGAGTTTGGTGACTTCTCCGCTGCGGCGTCTGGTCATTTGCTTAATATCTTTAATTTGGTAATTAAGTTGTTCTAGTTCAGATTTAATATCCTCAATCGGTGTGTTTTCAGTGAGTCCTCTAAGGACAACTTTTAAATAACGATCCTCAGGGAGGATATAAGAATGATGTTCAACCTGTTTTTCCTTTAATATTTGAACAACAGTCCGGTAGTCATTTGGTGATTCCGTAATAACTTTAATACTCCCCGTGGGTATATGTTCCCCGTGAAATTTGATTTTCCTTTGAAGGAATATAGCGCTAATTTCGCTCCATCTCAGTTTATTTTCCTTAAGTGTAATCGGGGGAATTCTGGAATTTCTATTGTTTTGTTTCTGATTATTTGAATTTGTGGCAGTAGAATTTTCATTATCCGGCGATGTAGTGTCCATGTTTCCATTATTCTGAGTATGTGTGTTATCACTGACTGCTACAGAGGTAACTTGTGTATTTGAAATGTTATCCTGACTGTGTGGCCTTTGTGGTGTATTTTCCGAAGGACTACTAAGCTTAATTTTCTTAAGATTTGGTCTTTGAGTACGTTTTCTAACTGTTTGATCACCTTTTGTCTTTGGCAGGTCATCATCAGAACTTGTAGGTTGATCCAAGGATATTTCATTTAACGAGTTAAAGTTATTATGTAATTTAATTGGACTTCTGTCCTATCATTTTCTGCGTTACTACTATGTAACAATTTATCCGAAGTTTTATTTAAATCCTGTTGTGTTAACTGTGTGTTAACCACAACTAGCATAT